AGATGGGTATAAGAGACAGGAATTCGTTCGAGAGTGCATTCTGGTACACGTACGTCAACGAGGACCCGATCCTGCTGGACGCGCTCGTCTCCAAACCTTCGGACTCGGTGCCCTTGCTCGATCGCTTCCGAGACGTCCTCGGAGAAAGGTTCGCCGACTGCCTCTGCAAAAACCTGTCGCCGATACCGGAACAGAGGAACTTATCCTGGTTGTAAACTTCGCGGGAAACTGAAGACGAGAGAACGACCATTCGCTGCAACGATCTCCTCACCGTGAAACGGGCGGACACCAACGTCGTCCACCTTCTATTCAGGGAAGAGGACGTGATAGTCGGTGACGTCAGATATCGCACGGAGGACGACGGCACGGCGATAGTGGATCACCTGCAGATTCTAGTCGAGGGACCCGACCTTCCTATGTCGTTCGTCCGGTCGGCGCTGGATCTGGTGGACGTCCGAGCTTCCACGGTTCACTTCGTCGCTTACAACGATAAGGAGCTTCGCACGATCTCGAGATGGTTTCCCGATCACCGAATAACCGAACGAGGACGCCTGGCCGTGAAACTCGACTCTCGCGTGCCCGCCATCTCGCCACTGCGTGCGAACGGGAGCGTGCTGCAGCCGTTGGATTTCAACGGAGACCGCGATTGTCGACCGAAGCAACGTTCGCTGGAGGTCAACCGAATTTTCGAGGAGATATTAATCAACGGCATACGGAAATCGAGCATACTCTCTCCGATCTCGAACCGAGGAAGACCGACCGACGCAGCAACGTTCGCGCTCCGCCGGCGAAGTCGACAGAATTTTTAAAGAGATATTAGTAAACGGCGTCAGGAGATCGACCTTACTCTCACCCATAATCGATTAAGATCGAGACGATGCACGTCCGAATCGAATCCACGTGCGGCAGAGCGGCCGTCAAGTTCTTCCTAGTCAACGTCGTTTCGTCGCAGACCATCGCGCACCGGTATCCGTACGATCGTCGAGAGCGCGTGCACTCCATCCACCTGAGGGGAACGAAGCTGCAAGACGACATGATAGAATTCCAGTCGCCGCTGAGCAGAGGATCGACGGCCCTGTTCTTCGCGTCCACCGGATCGACGAACATCACGACGAGAGGCAACTTCGACCTTCGCACGAAGACCTCCCTCAACTGCACCAGGCTGTCGTGTGGAGGAAGCGCAAAAGCCTCCCGATGCACACGTCGACCAACAACCTGAACCACGCTGGAAGGATATACGGCATCAGATCCGATCCGTCGACGGTGATCGAGAATCTGAAGCTGAAGGAATCTCTCATCGTG